ACAATTCCAGTCAAGGGCACATGCCTGGGTTGCAGGCTTAGTCCCTTGTGGAGGTGGAGGTGGGGTGCAGGAGGCAGCCAATCAATGATTTATTCTCATCATTGATGTTTCTACCTCTGTCTCCTTCTCTTTTCCTCTCTCAAATCAATAAAAAAAATATTTAAAAATTGAAAGGTTCAGAGTGGGCTGAGGTCGCGCACTTATGACATATCAAAAATATTTTATTCTGACCACCTGGGTGCAGGTGGGCTGAGACTGAGATGGCATCGGCGAAGAGAGCAGGGAGAGATAGTAGGTTTTTATTAGTCCTTGCTGGCTGCAAGCCGCCCTGCTGACGTAAGGGTCTGGCCCGGCCTTGGTTCCTCCGGGTGTCTTCTCTGAACTATGCTGTGCTCAAGGCTGCAAGCTTTCTGCAACGTATCTGCTAAGCACAATAAGTCTTTCTCTGCCCCGTTTTATTCTCTTTAACCCTTGCAAAAATAAAGTCTCCTTTTCAACGAAACTTCTTGTCCACAACCTAAAATTTCTATTTCCAACCCTCAGCCCAGATTCCTGTCCTCCTTCACTGCTTTGTTTTTCTCCCACTTCTCACCTGTATTGTTAGTTCTCTTATTTGTTTCCTATTTGGCAATCCTTCTGAGCACACGCCCTTTCCCTGTGTATCAATCTAGTGTAAAGAAGCCAGTGGGTGGAGTTTCATTTATTAATACTTCTTCTCCCGGGCTCTTCTTTCCCGTGCGCACCTACAAGATTCTGACCCACATCATTTTCCATTTCCCAGGAGAACATTTTAACGTTTCTTGCAGAGCAGGTTTTGTTTGAGAAAGTTTTTTTTTTTTTTTCCTTTTTTTTTTTTTTTCTCTCTCCGTTTTTGAAGGATAACTTCTTTGGGTACAAAAATTCCAGATTGGCATATGTTCTCTTTCAACACTAAATATTTCACTGCACTTTCTTCTTGCTTCACAAGAAGGCTGCTGTGATTTGTATCCTTAGTCCTCTACAGGTAAAGTGTTTTTTCCCCCTCTGCTTTCTTTCAAGATTTTCTCTTTGTCTTTGGTATGTCCAGGTGTAATCCTTTATTTATTTATTTATTTTTAGAAATTATTTATTGTTTTGATATTTATTCTGTTCGATGTTCTCTGAGTTTCCTGGATATGTGGTTTGGTATGTGTCATTAATTTCGCAACGTTCTTGGCCATCGATGCTTAACATATTTCTTCCATTCTGTTTTTTCTTCATCCGGTCTTTTACTTATGTGTATTTTGCACCCTTTGAAATTGTCCCAAACTTCTTGGATGTTCTGTTGTTTTTATAAAGTATTTTTTTCTTCTGTGTATTTCAGTTGGGGAGTTTTTATTACATATCTTCAAGCTCACTGATTTTTTCCTCAATCATGTATAGTGTACCCATGAGACAGCCCATCAAGGCATTCTTCATTTATGTCACACTGGTTTGGATTTCTAGAATTTTCTTTTGAATCTTTCTTATGTTATCCTTCTGTTCATGGGTGTTGTCTACCTTTTTCATTAACGCCCTTAAAGTATTAATCAGTTATTTTAAATTCTCTGTCTGATAATTCCAAAATCTGCATCATATCTAAGTCTGGTTTTGATGTTTGTGTTGTCTGTTCACACTTTTTTCTTGCCTTTTAGCATAACTTTTAATTAAAAAAAAAAAAATATATATATATATATATATATATATAGATTTCAGAGAGAAGAGGAGAGGGAGAGAGAAAGAGAGACAGAAGAAGCATCAACGATGAGAGAGAATCATTGATGGCTGCCTTCTGCGCAACCTCTACTGGGGATCGAGCCCACAACCTGGGCCTGTGCTCTTGACTGGAATCGAACCTGGGACCCTTCAGTCCGTAGGCTGATGCTCTTTATCCACTGAGCCAAACCAGCAGGACTAATTTTTAATTAAAAGCCAGACGTGCCGGGACCCATTTGGCTCAGTGGATAGGGCGTCGGCCTGCGGACTGAAAGCTCCCGGGTTCGATTCCGGGCAAGGGCATGTACCTTGGTTGCGGGCACATCCCCAGTGGGGGGTGTGCAAGAGGCAGCTGATCAATGATTCTCTCTCATTGATGTTTCTAACTCTCTATCCCTCTCTCTTCCTCTCTGAAAAATCAATAAAATATATTAAAAAAATAAATAAAGTGACAGAGTTCATAATGACAGAGTTTACAGTGACTAGGGACTCTCTGACAATAGCAGAGAGTTTCAAACAGCAGTTTAAAAAAAAAAAAAAAGCCAGACGTGACGTATTAAGTAATAGGAATAAAGGTTTATGCTAACTCAGATTATTTGAAGTTATTTGGATGCAAACACTTCCCATTGCCATAGCCAAGGGGATCATTACTTCAGCAGTGTACAGTTTTGCTGGGACAAATGTTGTGTATTGCCTTTTTTTTTTTTTTTATAACATGGCTTGGAAAGCTTTTACAGTTCAAAATATCTGCCTTGTACCGTCAGATTGGTATCTTGCAAATCGGGTCCAGAAAGACAAACATAGCCCCACAGAATAACCTAGATTATGATGAGTAAACTGTGGTCTCTGTGAAAGACACTGGAGAAGGAAAACAAGGTGGTGGCATCACTCTGTCTCTCCTGCTTTCCTCGTTGGCTTCGTCCTGAGCCTTCTTTAGAATTTATCAGACTGATGCTGCTTACGGGCGACAAAGTACATAGATCAAGAGGTTCGGCCTTTTTCCCATTTAGTGGGCCACGTGGAGCCTTCAGGTTTTATTCTCCTGGATTCTCTCGAGTTTGGAACAAAGGCTAAGAGCAGCTGAAGCTCAGGGAGAAGAAGCTAGTTTAAAAACTGCTCGGTCAGGCTGCCTCAGGAAAGATTGCGTCCAGTAGATGGGAAGATTTTAAAGATTCTTTTATTTTTAAAGTCTATGAATAATGGATTTCCAGCCTTTAGAACCTTCACCTCTGTTACTAAAAACCCCACGGCTTAATGTATAATCATTAATCTTCCCTTCATTACTCAAGATAAGATCCTTTTTCCCCCCTTAAAATTATTGTTCAATTATGTAAAAGATCAAACATATGAAATGGTTCAGAGAATAGATAACAAACAGTCATAAAAAGTACCATCTGGATTAATGAATATTAACATTTTGCCGTATTTGCTTCAGAACTGTTTTCATCAAAAGATAAAATGTTGCAGATACAGTTGAAGTTCCCTTGGTCTCTCCTCACGCCAGTTCCCCTGCTCCATCCTTCGCTATCCTAGAGATAACGTCTGTCTGAATGGTGGGGCTCCTTCCCACTCATGCTTCTATATTCTTTCATTCCCTTTACTGTATGTGTGTCCACAAGAATATATGAAATTGTTTTGTGTAAATTCAAGTGTTATGCAGAGGCTGCAATTTTGCTTATTTATTTATTTTTTACTTAGGCTGCATTTTGCTTATTTATTTAAAAATATTTTTATTGATTTCAGAGAGGAAGGAAGAGGGTGTGGGGGATAAAAACATCAGTGATGAGAGAGAATTATCGATTGGCTGCCTCCTGCATGCCCCCCACTGGAAATGGATCCTGCAACCCGGGCATGTGCCCTGACCTGAAATTGAACCATGACCTCCTGGTTTATAGGTCAACGCTCAACCACTGAGTCACACCAACGGGGCCATGAAATACCATTTTTATTTTAAAAAAACTAACAGACAGACCTACTGAGTTACTAGATTTGAGTATTTGGCAGTATTTTATTGAAAATGAACAAAGTGAGCCTGTCACTTCAAGGAAAAACAATTGACAATATCTGTTGACAATGTTAAAATATGAGTTTTTAAATGAAAATTAGAATTTTGGAACACTTACATCTACCCCAAGAGCTGACAGCTTCCCAGTACTTAAAGATTATTGACGACATTCACAAATGTGATTTAAAAAAAAATATATTGCCCCCCTGGCAATGGGCAAGGAGACACCTGATTGGTGGTGTTGGTCTTATATCATCAGGGGCAAAGCAGACGCACAGTCCTTAGTTCATCCTAATTTGATGCCTGTGTCGGTGGCCAGAGCTGTTTCATGCCTGAGTTACATTAAAAAAAAAAAAAAAAAAAAAAAAAAAATATATATATATATATATATATATATATATATATATATATTTTATAGTACAATGAAATGAACACAATTTTATAATGTATAATGACATTTGGAATATCTGCATAACTCAATGAACCAATATTTCCCAAGTGACAGTTTACAATATTACAAAATTATGTATGAATAAAAAGATCTATTCAAAGTACAAGACAGACTTCTGGCAAAGATGGAATGACACGGACACCTTATGATAATGACATGGAATATCTTTTCATGGGCTTATTACCCATTTGTATGTATATCTTTGGGGAACTGTTTATTTAGATCTTTTGCCCATGAAAAAAAATTGAATGATGAGGGTTATGTCTTATTGTTGAACTACAACTTACTTTTTGGAGATATTGTAGTAAGTCCTCCCTCCTCCAGGCTTTGATAGAACAGTGTTCTTAAGCTATAAGACTTATCCAGGGTGAATAGCCATCATAAGACAGACAGGCAGACAGACAGACAGATAGACACACCACTTTGCTGGAAATAGCATGGCCACAGATGCTTCAAGGTTTCTGTTTTTGTTTTTTTTTTTCTTCTGTCTCTTTATTTAAAATATATATATATATTTTATTGATTTTTTACAGAGAGGAAGAGAGAGGGATAGAGAGTTAGAAACATCGATGAGAGAGAATCATCGATCAGCTGCCTCTTGCACACCCCCTACTGGGGATGTGCCTGCAACCAAGGTACATGCCCTTGACCAGAATCGAACCCGGGACCTTTCAGTCCGCAGGCTGACACTCTATCCACTGAGCCAAACCAGTTTCGACTTTGCTTTTGTCTCTTTAAACTCATATTAAAATTGGGTCCAGTACCTCCGTCTCTTACCAGATATTCTCTAAACTCGCTGCTGTGTTTGTCTTGCAGTTTCCTGGTGATGACATGGCATCTGCCAGCGCCAGCCGGGCAGGCGTGGCCCTGCCTTTTGAGAAATCTCAGCTCACTTTGAAAGGTGAGTGGCACTGTGTGGAGTGATGGTTAATCATTTGAGCTCCAGCCCAGTCTGTGGGGAAGAAGTGGATTTATACCACACTTGGGTCTGGAGAGCCACAGTCTGTGAAATGGCTCAAGAGTGTAACTTCATTCTCATTGGGTTGTCTTAGTGTAGCTGGAATTCTTGAAGAAGAACAAAAGGAACTTTTGGCAAAAATGATCTAAAATGGTGATTCTTGCCCTAGCTGGTTTGGCTCAATGGATAGAGCGTCGGCCTGTGGACTGAAGGGTCCCAGGTTTGATTACGGTCAAGGCACATGCCTGGGTTGCAGGCTCAATCTCCAATAGAAACATCAATGATGAGAGAGAATCATTGATTGGCTCCCTCCTAGTTGGTCCGAAGGTTGTGGGTTATTGTTAAGCTGATCGGCTGCCTCCTGCGTGCCACACCCTGGGGATTGAGCCCACAGCCTCGTCATGTGCCCTGACTGGGAATCCAACTACGATCTCCTGGTTCATAGGTTGTCACTCAACCACTGAGCCACACCGACTGGGCTTCCTTATTTTCTTTAGGTCTGTACTCAAAAATCACCCTCTTCTAGAATTGTGTACCTGGAATCTGTATAATTTTGTTAACCAGTGTCACCCCAATAAATTAAATAAAAAGGAAAAGGGACAGTCACCCCTTCAACCAGGTTGTCCTGATCTCCCCATCTACAGCCTCTGCCACCCCCCACCCCTCACTTCTATCCTCTTCCCTACTTTGTATTTTTCTTCTTCGCCCTTGTCACTTATTTAACACAATACATATTCTGTGTAGTACTTTATTTATTTTCATTATTATTTTTAAAATATATTTTATTGATTTTTTTACAGAGAGGAAGAGAGAAGGATAGAGAGCTAGAAACATCGATGAGAGAGAAACATCAATCAGCTGCCTCCTGCACATCCCTCACTGGGGATTTGCCTGCAACCAAGGTACATGCCCTTGACCGGAATCGAACCTGGCACCCTTCAGTCCACAGGCTGATTCTCTATCCACTTGAGCCAAACCAGTTAGGGCTGTTTCCCATATTTTTAGCAACACTGTGCGTTGTAAGACTTTTCTCTTTGCCAGTCTGATTGGTAGAAAGTTGTTTTCTCAGCATAGTTTTATTTAGCATTTTTTAAATTATAGAGATGTGTAGCATTTTGTCATACATTTAAGGGGAATTTGTATTTTCTTTTCTGTGGATTGCCTATTTATATTCTTTGCCTCTTTCTTATTGAGTTACCGATTTTTAAAATGGTCTTGAAACGTTTTAACTCTCTTCCTTGGCATCTCATTGCTGCGCTGCTCCAGCCCTTTTGAGGAAGAAGGGGATTAATGTGAACTGATAGTTTTTTAATTCGGGACTATATCCTTTGCTACTTTACCTAATAATTAACAAGCTTACGTTAAGACAGAAGCCTTCTCCTGGGACTTGGCGACCTCCTGAGGTCTCTATTTTGTGTCCGTATTATCCAGGAACAGATTTCTCCATTGCATTTCTTCACTGTGAAGTTTCTTACTAGAGTGGAAAGAGCTAACTTGATAATGTAGTTGCTTCTCATTATATATGCATTTAATCTATAAGGATTTGATGCTCCCATCCAGGAAATGATGGGGGAGAAAGAGAAAGAAAGATCTGACACTCTGAATAGCGGGTGGTTCTTCCTGCCGTGCATTTCACTGATAGAGCCGAGAGCAGTGGTTCTCAACCTTTCTAATGCTGCGACCCTTTAATACATTTCCTCAGGTTGTGGTGACCCCCAACCATAAAATTATTTTTGTTGCTACTTTATAACTGTAATTTTGCTACTGTGAATGAATCATAATGTAAATATCTGTGTTTTCCACTGGCCTACAGTGAAGTATAGGAGATGTTACTATGCTGTTCCCTCTCTTTGCCTCTGTACCCTTGTGCTTTTTTCTTGTGTAATCCTCGAGTTTTGAGATATGGTTTTTAAATACATCAAGGCTTTTAAACATAGTCAACTGTTTTATCTAATATTTTACTTAAGAAACAGTGGAGCCCTAGCCAGTTTGGCTCAGTGGATAGAATGTCGGCCTGAGACCTGAAAGGTCTCAGGTTCGATTCTGATCAAGGGCACATGCCTGGGTTGTGGGCTTGATCCCCATTGGGGGACTTGCAGGAGGCAGCCAATCAATAATTCTCTCATCATTGACGTTTCTCTCTCTCCCTCTTCCTTCCTCTCTGAAATCAATAAACATATATTAAAAAAAAAGAAAAGAAATAGTGGAAAACAAAGTACAGCAAAACAAACAACTGTTTGAAACCTATTGAAAGACAAAATGCCAGGTTCTATTCTGGTGCTTTCCTAAGAGCTTTTCAAGGGTATAATTTTGGCCATATGTGATTTTTGCCTTATTTGTTAACTTTAAGAACGAAATCCTATGTGAAGATGTGACTCCATGTAGAAGAGACTGGCATTTACATTTCATCAAACAGTAAATAAACTTCCTAGATAAACTTGCCTGTATCTCATCACCTTTATGTTGGCTTGTCTTTTAGAAAAGAAACATGTAACACATCAACCTGCTGCTTACTTATAAATTAGAGGAAAAAATCTTTCTTTACATTCGAGAGACCTGACAGACCCCATTAACCAAGGGATACCCTAGCTTTCCCAGTAGGATAACAGGGTGTGTGCATAAGTATACAATGGAACCTATGTAGTATTCTTGACAAAAATGCTCAATGTGAATCTAATCATGAGGGAAACAGCCAGGAAAATGCAGAATTTGGCATATTCTGGATGACAGTTGGTGGAAGTCTTTTAAAGTCATTGCCATGGAAAAAGAAAGGACAGCATTCCAGCTTTTAAAAGGTTAAGGAAACAATAACCAAATTTCGGCAGTGTATTAAGCCAAAACCGGTTTGGCTCAGTGGATAGAGCGTTGGCCTGAGGACTGAAAGGTCCTGGGTTCGATTCCGGTCAAGGGCATGTACCTTGGTTGCGGGCATATCCCTAGTGGGGGGTGTGCAGGGGGCAGCTGATCCATGTATCTCTCTCATTGATGTTTCTAACTATCTCTCTCCCTTCCTCTCTGTAAAAAATCAATAAAATATATATATTTTTAAAAACACCCAAAAACAAACAAATACAGTGTGCTCATCTTGATTGGATCCTGGATTGGGGGAAAAACAGCTATAAAATTATGTCTGGAAATAATTGAGGAAATTTACATATGGAGTGAATATTAGAATTGATACAGCGGGTAACTGAATTTTCTTAGGTATAATGATGGTGATGTGTGGTTAGGTGGGAAGATGTCTTTATACTTATGCGTTGCATTCTGGAAGGTATTTAGGGCTGATCTCTCATGACATCTACAATTTACTTTCAAATGGTTTACCACAAAAAAGTGTGTACACATAGATACACACACAATTATAGACAGTGATAATCAAGCAAATAGATAGAAAACTAATATTTGGTGACTGGGAAAAACGTTTATAGGAATTCTTTGTATTGTTCTTGCACTTTTCCTAAAGACTTTACTGAAATTATGAAAAAAAAAAAAAAAAAAAAAAAGGAAAAGGTAGAAAAACAGAGGGAGAAAAGCTAGAGAACAAAAAAGGAAACATCATGGAAGAATTCAAAGAATTGGCCTGGGAGCTGGAGACTTGCATTTAGGCTTAGCTCTGGCTCTTATTAGCTCTAGGATTTTGGATATGTTTGGTCAAATGGTTAAATAAAGGGTTTGAACTCATTGATTTCAAAGAAGCAGTCTAGCTCAAAATTATGGGACTATAATTAGTCCGTTAAGGGTCTGCATGCAGAGCTCTTCTTGCGCCACCAGGTGGCCTCAGTTAGCCTTGATCAACATGTAAAGTATTTCATTTTTGTACCCTCGGCCCCATTTCCCAGGACCCCAACCTTTCCCCCCTGGTATCACCCCTCTTTGCTCCTGAATCTTAGCCACAACTTTTGATGATGTTGTTCTTTGAATTTCTCTCTACCCTCCTTTTGGGCCTGAAGAAGAGAGCTATTGCTAAAAACAACCCAGAGGTGGGTTTGTCCTTTGCCAAACTGGCCTCTTACAGGACTGTCACCTCTCAGAAGGGTCTGGGAAGGAGAGGTTTGCTAACCCTTGACAGACGGGAGCTCAAGCCAGAACAGTCTTGCTATCATAGTAAGGCATGTCAGTAATATGCTCTTATCTGGGGCATAGGGTTAAAGACACCTAGACGTGTTTCATCCTAATGACCCGGTGTTCTCTTGGCTCATATACGCTCTCAGAGGAGCTTATCTGGCCTTGGGCGGATTCTTTTTAAAAAAATATATTTTATTGATTTTTTACAGAGAGGAAGATAGAGGGATAGAGAGTTAGAAACATCGATGAGAGAGAATCATCGATCAGCTGCCTCTTGCACACCCCGAACTGGGGATGTGCCCGCAACCAAGGCACATTCCCTTGACCAGAATTGAACCTGGGACCCTTCAGTCTGCAGGCTGACGCTCTATCCACTGAGCCAAAAACTGGTTTCGGCCTTGGGCAGATTCTTGCTTAGCTTGTGCTCTCTGAGTCCCTGGCTTGCTGGTGCCAAGTGAACATCAGAAAGGCTGCCACATGAGGAGGAAATGCAGATGGTAACAAGCACATGCAAGAAAATAGTCAGCCTCACTGGTAATTTAAGGAAAGCATCAGAACAAATAAGCAAAGTCTGCTAATGGCACAAAACATGGTGTCGTCAGGCTGCCCAGTGCCCATCCTGGCTCAGAGCTTCCTGGCTCTGTGGCCTGGGGCAGTGACCTGGCTTCCTCAAACCTGTTTCCTCCCGGCGCAATGGGGGTGATGGCATATTTCCTGCCTCATGGGTTCATTGTGAGGATTCAGGTAGATGATGTGTGCTTAGCATAGTATCTGTAAAAAGTACTCGTTCATTCTTAGCTGTTATCTTTATGCCATTTTCTTAAACCTGCGATATTCGCAAAGAATGAGAAGACATTGCACTCAGTGTTTTACAGCGTTTGGTGGACATCTTCCTATCGTGCTCATGGGCATCTACACAGATTTACCCTTTTTAGAAAGGAATTAAGCAGTTTTAGGAACTTTAAAAACATGTTCATAGATTTGGAAGGATACTCAGAAATTCAAGCAAATACTGTGTATACAGTTCTGGTAATTTTCCCAGAGCAAAAAATTAGAAGCAATCTATTCATGAATGAAAAAATAGTTAACTAAAAAAAAAAAAAAGAAAAAAGAAAAAAAATGATTAACTAAGTTATGGCATATTCTTATAATGGGCTTGTATTACTGCCTTTTAAAATGGATATTGGGAGGAGAAGAATTTTTGAAAAGTTGGGGACATAAAAGTTGAAAGTCTGGAAAGTCTGAATTTACCAACATTTTTTTTTTAGGTTAGGAGTGATTTAAAAAAAAAATATATATATATATATATATTTTTTTTTTTAAATATATATATATTTTATTGATTTTTATACAGAGAGAAAGGGAGAGAGATAGAGAGTTAGAAACATCGATGAGAGAGAAACATGGATCAGCTGCCTCCTGCACACCCCCTACCGGGTATGTGCCTGCAACCAAGGTACATGCCTTTGACTAGAATCGAACCTGGGACCTTTCAGTCCACATGGCGACGCTCTATCCACTCCAACCGGTTAGGGTTAGGAGTGATTTTTGCTTATTATGCTTCATATTTTGTGTGTGTGTCCTGACATTTTTAAAAAGAAGTTTTTTTGTTTTTTTTTTTTAAATCCGGAAAATACCAAAAAATTTATTTTTTGAACAAAACAGCAAAAAAGAGTGAGGCCATCTGCCACAGGGGGGCAGCTGGGAGCCCTCGGCCTCATCCCGGACTTTTTCTTTCTCTCCTGTCCAGTGGTGTCAGCAAAGCCCAAGGTGCACAGTCGCCAGCATCGAATTAACTCGTTTGTGGAGGTGGCAGTGGACGGACTGCCCAGTGAGACCAAGAAGACTGGGAAGCGAATCGGGAGCTCCGAGCTTCTCTGGAATGAGATCATCATTTTGTAAGAGCACGTCCCTTCTCTTTCAAACGCAGTAATGTGTGTGTGTGTGTGGGGGGGAGAGAAGGCGCTCCGGGGGTGTGTGGTGGGAGACCCCGGTGTCCTTATGGAGCCCCTAAGTCTCCTGCCTTTGGCACCCAAGGTGCCTCTGTAAGTGTTTCCACATCACTGAGCTCACAGAGTGTTCATTGTTAGCTAGGTGGCCGCAGGGTCAGCTTTGGGGGCTTGGGAGTGTTATGTGAGCATCTTCCTGTTGGGGTCCCCCCTCCTCTTCCACGTTGTCAGCAATACCTGTTTCCTTCTGAGGCAGTCGGAGTGATCGTGATCGATCTGCTTGGATGTGATGAATCAACTCTTTGTTTTCCAGGAATGTCACGGCCCAGAGTCATTTAGACTTGAAGGTCTGGAGCTGCCACACCTTAAGAAATGAACTGCTAGGCACCGCCTCTGTCAACCTCTCCAACGTCCTGAAGAACAATGGGGGCAAAAGTACGTACGGCGGAGAGGGGTGGCCTGGGGGACTCACTCAGGAGCGCGGGGAGAGGCGTTGGGAGGCCGGCTCTCTCTTTTCCTGGCCGTTAAGCCCGGTGATGTTGTCTCCTCCAGGCCCGGGGCCTGCAGTGACCCCGCTCCCGTGGGGCGTTAGGAAGGCTGGAGTCTCCTTTCTGCAGACCCCGGCCCCTCTTTCAGCAGCTGCAGCGGTGGGAGGCAGTGACTTGCCCCCTTGACCCTTCGCAAGGATCAGTGCTTTCCCTCTGCCGCCCTTTCCCCAGTCCGGGACATGGGACCTGTAGAACCAGACTGGCCAGCGCCTCCAGCCTACGCGTTACTGCCCTAGTCTGAGTCTTGGAACAGAACAAAGGAACTGCTGTGTGTGTGTGCACATGTGTGTGCGCACGTGTGTGTGTGTGTGTGTGTGTGTGTGTGTGTGAGATGTCGTTACAAATAGGCCCTGTACTTAGTAGGCACTCAATAAACATCTGCTGGCAGCTCTAGCGTCATTACTCAGGGTGCCGCCGCCGCCGCATGGAAACCTAAACCCTGACATCTATTTATTGTTGTCTGTGGTCAGCGGCATAACCGTGGCTGCGGTGCCCGAACCCTCCCTCATAAAAGCCTCTATTCAGAGCAGCGCCATATGTGGCGAGGGAAGGCCGCAGAAAGAAAGGCTCCCTTTTCTCTTGGAGGCTGCTGTCTAGAGAGTATGTTCTGAAAGCGGAGCCCCAGGGACATCGATTCCAGTCCTTTCTTTCCGGGCCTGTCCTCTCTGACGGGCCACTTGGGCGGAGCTGGGGGCTCCCTCGGTCTTTGTCTTCCTGCCTGGCGCCCAGGGATGTGGCGGACCCGACCTGGGCTGTGGGGATCGCTTAGCGTCAGGCATACGTCTCGATTTTAGTTCTGTAAGGAACCCCCTGGTGCTCTGTCTTCCGAGTTGGTCTTTATTTTCCCAGACGTTAGGCTGCCTTTTATGATTTGTTCTCAAGTGTATCATATCTTTTGGGGATACAGTTGTGAGCATTCTCGAGTTTGGATCGGCGTCCTTTTCTTTCCCTTTTCATTTGTCCAGTCAACATACTTCTGCTTTTGATTATCAAAGTAAAGGTAGAAAAACCTGGGAATTACTGCAAAGCACACAGACACACAAAGAAAACAAAATGTTCCTGTAAGCACAGCACTTAGTGATCATTATTAACATTTTGATATATAGCCTTCTGAGCTTTTTTCCCCCGTGTGCAAATATATACTAATATTTAAGATATCAATCAAAGCTGAGATAATGAAAGAATAGCAGCATGTATTTTTCCCTTGAAAAGGTATCAAGCATCTTAATTTATTTTTAATTATAAAATACACATAGCATAGAATTTACCATCTTAACCATTCTTTTGCTGTTGTTAATCCTCACCTGAGGATATTTTTTTCCCCGTTGCTTTTCAGAGAGAGGGAAATGGAGGGCGGGAGGAGGGAGAGAGAGAAACATCAACATGAGGGAGACGCATGGACTGGTTGCCTCACACATGTGCCCTGACTGGGGGCAGGGAGCGAACCCACAATCCAGATAGGTGTCCTTGTCCGGGAATCGAACCTGTGACCTTTTGGTATATCTGCCGGTGCAGTAACTGCTGAGCAACACCATCCAGGGCTAATGGTTCTTAAATGTAAAGTTCAGGGGCATTAAGTACATTCATATTGTCAGGCAGCCATCACCACCATCTATCTCCAGAACTCTTCTTCTTCCCAAATGTAAACTCTGTACCCATTAAAAACAACTCCCCTTTTCATCCCTTTTCTCAACCTCCTGTTATCCTACTTTTGGTCTCTGTGGCTGACTACTTTAGTTACCTCATATCAGTGGAATCATACAGTATTTGCCTTTTTGTGACAGGCTTATTTCATGTACATATTGTCCTTCCGGCTTACTCATGTTGTAACACATATCAAAGTCTCCCTTTTAAAGGCTGAATGATATTCCATTGTACGAATATACCACATTTTGTTTATTTGTCCATCCAAGGATACTTGGATTTCTTCTACCTTTTGCCTATAACGTAGTGTGCTGTTAAGAATAAGGGTGTACAAATATCCCCTTAAGTCTCTGCTTTCAATTACTTTGCATATATATATACTCAGAAGTAGAATTGCTGGGTAATGTGTATTTCCATTTTTACTTTTTTTGAGGAATCATCCTACTGTTTTCCATAGCTGCTGCATCATAAAATATATCAAGATAACCTTAACTTTTCTTCCAAAATTCAGTTTTGATGACTGCCTGGTAGTAGTCTGTTAGATGGCTGTATGAAAAATTGATCATTTGAGTAGATTTCAGTACTCGTATTTCACAATCACAAATCCTATATAATAAAAGGCTAATATGCAAATTGACTGAACTGCAGAACAACCGGTTGCTATGATGTGCACTGACCACCAGGGGCAGACACACAATGCAGGAGCTGCCCCCTGGTGGTCAGTGCTCTTCCACAGGGGGAGTGCTGCTCAGCCAGATGCCGGGCTTGCAGTTGATGAGTGCAGCAGAGGTAGTGGGAGCCTCTCTCGTCTCTGCTGCAGGCGGGCGATAAGGAGCGAGGGGTCCTGGACTTCAAGAGCCCCGGACTGCAAGAGGGATGGCTGTTTACCAGCTTAGGGGGATCGGGCCTAAGCCAGCAGGCGGACATCCCCTGAGGGGTCCTGGACTGTGAGAGGGCACAGGCTGGGCTGAGGGATTTCCCCCGACTAGTGCACGATTTTCATGCACTGGGCAGCTAGTAACACTGTGATAGACTTGAAAGTTTTTAAATCTTTCTGCCCATTGTTTAACATTTACTTGAGATAAATATCTGCAGATTTATTTATTTTTTACCTATTTGATAATTAACATTATATCAGGTTTGCTCAATCTGTTTTTTTTGACTGTAGTATTTTAAAGTAAATCATAGATGTCTCAGTATTTTATCCTAGATTCTTTAGCAGGCATCTCTTAAAAATAGGACATTTCCTTACATAATTATCATACCATTATCACACCAATCGTATTAACCAATCATGAATTCTTTATTACCACCTATTACCCAGTTTATGTTTGATTTTATGATTTGTCTCAAAGTGTTTTAAAATTGGTTTGCTTGACAACAAGCAGGTTGTCAAATTACAACGGGGAGTGGAGGAGGGTCTGGGGGAGACAATAAATCAACCCAAGGACTTGTATACATGCATATAAGTACAACCAATGGACATAAAACTCTGGGGAGGGAGGGGATACGTGGGAGGGAAGGAGGGGGGCAAAAAAAATCAATAAAATATGTAAAATAAAAAAAAAATAAAATTAAAAAAAAAAATTGGTTTGCTTGAATATGGATTTGGTTCGGGTCCTCTTGTTGCATTTGGTTGTTATTTCTGTGAAGTTCCCCCCATCCTCCCTTCTCTCTGTTTTATTGAAGGTGATTCAGTGTTTTATTTTATTTTTTATTTTTTTTATTGATTAAGGTATCACATATTTGTCCTCAATCCCCCATTCCAGTCCCCCACTCCTCCCCACTTATGCTCTCACCCCCCTGTTGTCCTTGACTAATGGTTAGGCTCATATGTATGCACACAAGTCCTTTGTTTGATCTCTCTGATTCAGTGTTTTAAAGTATGCTTATTGCCTTATCCGTTATTTATTTTTATATTGAAGTGTGTAGTTTTCACTGTTAGTTTTCAAAGAGCTCTTTATATGTTTTTATTTTATTTTAAAAATTGACTCTTAGAAAAAGGGAGAGAGAAACGTTGATTTGTTGTCCCACTTATTTATGCATTCTTGGTTGATTCTTATATGTGCCCTGCCTGGGACTCAAACTCACAACCTTGGCATATTGGGACAACACTCTAACCAACTGAGCTACCTGGCCAGAGCTGAGCTCTTTATATATTAAGGCTATTATTCTGTGTCTTATAATTTGTAAACATTTTTCTAGTTTTTCATTTTAATTTTTTAGATTTTCATTTTCTTTTTCCAAACAGATGTTTTAAAGTTTCTGCAGTCGAATCTGTCACTCTTTGTATTTTCAACCTTTTCTTTTATGATTTGAAAGGCTTTTCCCATTCTGAGATCTGGTAAATAGTCACCTCTATTTTTTTCTAGTTCATTATGATTTTTATTTTTCACCATTTTATTCTTCATCCAAACAAATTTATTTTTTGTGCACAGTGTGAGTAGGGATGTATTTACGTTTTCACAAATAGTTAACTGATAGCTTTATTATTGCTTATTGAATAATCCATCTATTTCCCCTTTGCTTTGATTTGGTATCTTCAGCATATATTAAAAGCAGATTTATACTTGGGCCTGTTTATGGATTTTCCATTTCATTTGTTGTTTTAAAACCTTTCTGTCTTAGCTATTGTAACCTTATGTTTTAATCTCTGACATTTCAAGTTCCTCTTCTTTTCAGAATCTTCTTTTCTTTGCATATATGACATCATTAACATGGACTAAATTATTTTCCCAAATTTCCCCTTTCTACTTTCTTCCCCTCAAATCCCTTAATGTTTTATTAGAATCTTATCATTTAAAAAATTCTTTTATGGAGAATTTCCATACAAATTCTTCGTACCCAGGAACACAGATGTCTCTAAATTCATTCAAATCATATTTTGAAGCTATCTTTAGATAGACCCTTTTAATTTAAAAAATAATTTTGCTATCATTTTCAATGGTATCTTTCCCTATTAGGTCTTCTAACCTGTTTTTAGTATACAACTATTAGTTTCTGCATTTTCTTTTGTATTCTGTCAGTTGCTGAATCCTTAATATAGGTTTAAATAGTTTCTTTTGACTTTCCTTGGGAGATATTTATGTGGTTTCTAAGACTGATAATTTTGCTCATCTTATTAGATGATTACACTTCTTTTTCTTGTGAGTTGCTTTGTGTACACGTTCCTGTTTTAGTGGTGATGGAGCGGGTGTATGGCCGAGTCTAATACCCGTGCCTCTAGTGACTGTCCTCTGTGTG